TTGTCAATGAGACAAGCAGGATAGTCCAGTTTTGAAAGAGAAGAAAAAAACAAACTCAAAAGATGCACATTTTTATCCCCAACAAAGTGCCAAAAGAATCCATGCCCTATCTCATGTGGATAAATTCTAACAGGCCTTTGTCTAAAACTCAATGAGCAGATTTTGCCATTTCTCTGGACAACATTTATATTTTCTGAGAATGCTATCACCCAAACAGCATACCAAAGAACATTCACTAATTTCAGAAATTTTCAGATATCAAGCAAAGAAATACACCTAATAATACTTTTAAACGGTAAGTTTGTGTTCATTTCCCCAAAATGACTTAAAAAGCAAGACTTAAATGGCCAAAAATGCAGAGAAAAGGGAAGAAAAGAATGAGGTACTTGTTGGCAAATTACTATCAGCAAATACATTAGAGTTAGTGTTTGAAAAATATAAGCATTTAGTCTTACCTGGCAAGAACCCATGGCCGCTTTGAGTGGAAAGAGAGTCCCTTGACTCTCGCACTTTTTGTTTCAAATTTGGTCAGCATCTTTCATTTATCCAGTGTACCAATATTCTGAAATGCGGTATATAAAGATTATTAAATAAAGCAAGGTATGTTCTTTGGGAAAAAAATGTTAGAAATTAGAACTATAAAAGAAAGAATAAAGAGATGACTTGATAAATAACAGAGACCAAACTGCATACTTTTCCTAGACTCTGTAAAGGTCCCTAAATTCTACCCTCAAGTGGTACCCTTACAGAAGTAGCCCTAATCTTTCCATATCTCAGACCTTTCCCTCTCCCTGAGCACTTGGTAATCCTAGCAGAATTTGCAACAAAAAAATATTGCATATCTTAAAATGTGTAATCTTTACTGGTTCATAATACTAAAAATTGTTTTCACTTAGTATTATCATGCAGTATTTGCCTGGCACAAAAAAAAAAAGAAAAAAAAAAAGAAAAAAATAAATAAATAAATAAACACAAATATATAAGTAATGAAGAGTGTCCGATTTACATCAGACACTCAAGACCACATACTTTCCTTGGCCCCCATGCCTATAGTACACAGGTCAAGACCAATAAATCTCTACCACTTGTTCCTTATTTGATTACTTGATGCTGTTAGGTCATCCAGTACAAACCATATCAAGTTTCAAATGTAGATTTATATCAGAATAAATATGATTGATCATGATGATAGTGGTATTTATGGATTTTTAAGTATTTGCTACCCATACATGTAAAAAGTATGCCATGGAAACCCCAAATAACCACAATCTTGGCCTCAATAGCAGGGGAGAGCATAAAAGGTATCAGGGAAATTGTGGAGTAAAATATGAATGATATACAAAGAATTGGTCAATATATAGTCAAATACAGGCAGCACTACTCCCTGCAACACTCCAATTGGGTGCTACTGCTCCTCCAACACATGGGCAGGACAACATAGAATCCACCACATATGTACAGCACAACAGAGTGTAGGACAGACTCAGCAACAGGTGCTCAAACATGTCATCATACGCTCTATCCTGCCATGAATATGTGGAGAATTCTCTGTGTTCTGGGTTGGGGGGGAGGTTGTACGAGGACAACCCCTCTCATATGACTACATATTAACAAATTCATTGTAAACCATTCATATTTTATCCTGCAATTTCCCTGATACCTTTTATGTTTGGGAGGAGGGGGGTCTGAAACACATGTCCTACATATGTGGGTATTAGAGGGTGAGAGGAATCTATCAATATCACTATCAATGTGATCAATCATACAAAGGTATTCTAAACAATTACAATATTTACTTTTCAAACTGTTTTATATGGCAATTACAAGTTTAAATATTCCAGGACAAACTTACCACCACATACATCACAGAATATATGCACTACCTATTGTCTCAAATTTTTGGATAAATATTCATATCTATACACATATATGTTAGTACATAATATTTAGTACTATTTCTTTAATTCACAGAGTAATTTAGGAATCCTACTGTGTACGATATGTAGTTTTTAGCAGGTAATTTGACTAATGAACAGTAATTGTAGGCCTACTTACTTTTGACTGTTTTCTATAATATTTTCATTTTTTTAAAGTATACTACAAACACAAATTATATTGACTGGGAGTCCACAAACATTTCAAAATGAACCATAGACTTTCCTAACACCATATCACTGTACTTTCCAATCAAGGAATCTGCCCCCTGATCTCCAACTAATCATAACGGACGTATTTCCTTCACTTCTGACATTACTTCTTTGTCTGCTCAGATTATTCCATGTAACAGTGAACATACTTTTTCTATGTTTTTCTGTGAGCTCTTATGTTTTGCACAAATCTAGCACTCATTTCTGCCAAGATAATTGGGGAGGGCACACTAAATATCGGGGAAATTGCGGAGTAAAAGTGAATGATTGAAGTAAAACTTTCAGTAAATTTGTTAGATTAAAGCACATTCATATTAAATAAAGAGGCTTCACCCCTTAATACCCCTTTCAGGGGGCTGCTGCCCCTCTACCCCACACCTGGTCTGCAAAATCTTCACGTTGTATGATCCAGCAGGATAGAGCCCAGGCAACTATGCTGAAGTGACACACATTGATCGTATAAATGGGGCTTTGGCCCCTATCCCCCTTTTAGAAACGACTGGTGCCCCACTACCCACTGCCTAGTCTACAAAATCTTCACCTTGTGTGCTCTGGCAGGACAAAGCCTGGGCAAATAGCTGGACCTCACACTGATAATTTCTTATCTTGACCAATAAATCTGCTATGGCCTGATTCAGTCTGATTATTTTATTGCTTCCTTGATTTTGTGTCATTTTCTCTTGGCACTAGTTTTACATCCTCTATACTACCCTTATTATCAGTTTCCAAAGGAAAGTGTCAGCATGTTACATTCTATTAGAGAGTAAGGTCAGATTCTTCATTTTTGGTATTAGATGTCATTTCCAATAATACCGGTTTACTTTGTACTGAATATCAAAAATTCTTCCACAAGTCTATGGCTTGTAGAAACAGGAATTTTACTTGCCTTAGCTCTGCCTAAGATCTGCCCTGCCAGAATGTATGTGTAAGAGAGCATCCTTTGCCAGAGCGTATAGTGAAGAGGTCGTATATAGTGTAGAGGTATTAGAGCTCAAATGCTGCATTCGGAACTCCTTGTCTTGCTCGTCCAGACAACTTGTCAAGACCGTGTTCAGAACCTCGAAAGCCTTCCCTGCCCACAATGCAACCAACTCAAAAATAAACATTCACTATTTTATAATACCGGTGTCTTTATTTTACATGTAAAATAGGTTTTATACCTCCTCTGATAAACAGATAACTTACCTGGAACTGGCAATGACAAAAATACCCTTTGATTACAACAATAAAGGGCTATAAAATTACATATCAATATCTTAAGATTGCCTGCAACTGCCATTGTTTACATACAAATGTTACTGTGACATCATCTCATCCTGTTTGCAGGGTAAGATGGACAACTTGTTAGGGATGCGAAGGCTGGGGTTTCGGACAGTCAAAACACCTTGTCCACTTTGTTGGGCAGTTCCGAATGCAGCATAAATCTTGAGTCAGAAATCAAAGCAATTTTCAATTGAATTGGATAGGAAGACAATGTATTTACTAAACTGTCATGTTTTGAAATTTATTTGACCCATTGCTGACTGGCATGGCCTGTAAATACATGCCATGCCCACTGAGTTTACTTGATTAATTGTTTTTACACATAGATGGCTACACGCGTACTAAGTCACCAATGAGCCAATTACGAGTACTGCCTGTCTAACCCATGCACCCTTTTCACAGATTTACAAAAATATTTTACGTTATCTTCTTCTGCTGTTACTAATGTTTATAAAGTTATAGTAATTTCAATGTTTATAACAAAAATAACACCATCATCATTCATAACACTAGTAAAAAATAAGTTTTTCCCTCCAATTCAAGAAAAGGTGAAATCAGGTGAGGCTGAGCACTAGCTGAGTCATCTACGTGCGGAGACATTTACAAAAATTAAAAAAATGAGCACAGCATTTTCCCCCTTTTTTTATTCACTTTCCCCTTTTTTATTCATTTTCCTCATTTTTCATTCATTTTCCCCATTTTTTATTCATTTTCCCTGGCAGCAATGGGTTAAATTGTCTTCTATGTACTTAGACAAACTTAAATAATCACCAGACAATGAATGTAACATTTTCCTCTCAGGGTATTTATTCAAATAGCTTAGGGACTCCTCCGAGTCTGAGAATAAATGCATTATTTATTCCTGCCTAATGTTGTCAGTGCAAAATCATCCCCACCGGCATACTCACTATACCGACCTCTATCAGTAAAGACCGAAATCAAGCACAGATTTTGTGTATTTAAGCAATAATAACGTGCCAGCTCATCAACACCTTAACATGACATGACACCTAACATGACACTTCCATCCTCCATCACCTTAACAACGGTAATATATAAAGCTACGGTTATCCACGACATCTACAACACCTACATCCCTCCAAAGAGTAAAATGCCCCACAGAAATACGGGTAAGTACTGCTATATCTACCTAAATTACGTGAGAAAAATACGAAAAACTGGAGAGGAAGAGACTCACTCGGCGACGCGATCCTTATGACGTGGACGAGACTCTGTTATCAGACGTCGGGTTACATATTTCCCCTATTTATGGCGGGTTTGTGCGATATTCTTTTGTCTAAAATATTATTGGTCTTTGTTACCGATTGGATTATGGCTGGTACTTTGCATCTGTGTCTAAAATAATAAGATATGAGAGTCAAGTATTACTCTCTAGAGGAAACGGGTCTAATATATAATGACAACTCATTTACCATATTGATGGAATTCTGATGATAAAAATGACTTAACTCATTTACCATATTGATGAAATTCCAATAATGAATAAAATACTACATAAATATAAGTATGAAATTAGGTCTTCTTCAATAAATATACATCTTTCCAAATAGTTTTAGCTCCGTCGCCCTGTAAACAACTCTCACGATGGCTTCCAGGATGATCTGCCGGAACCTCTTCTCCTTTTCTAGCAAAAATCGAGGTCTAGCAACTGCTACTTGGCCTCGGTGTCAGCAGAGTATACCAGCAGATGATGAAGCTCTGCCTGAAATTAACGAAGCGGAACTGATTGAAAGAAAAAGGAACACGTCCAGACTAAATCCACGACATTACAAGAAGCTCCATAAAATAGTAAGGGTTGTGTGTTTATTTTCCTTATGTATTTACCTCAAATATAGGGGATTGAGTACCCGATTTGGGTAATGAGACCTTTTACGAAGGATTTACGATATCCTCTTCCTTAGACGAGTGTATCAAAGTTCTTAATGCACAATGCGTGTACAGTTCTTTGATAGGGTTTTCGGCTTTTGTATAGTTTTATACCCTGGATCCTCTTTCGGTTGATGTTACCAAGAATGATGCATTGAGAGAGAGGGAAATGTTATAGAGCATAAAAAATGGAGTAAGAAGCAGTACAGGTATATCTGCAGCGGCCTCATATTTACCGGGAAATTATGAAAATACCTTCTGCGTGTCCATAACACCATCACACAGACACAGTTTTTAATGTTGTGTTTTCTGCATGAAGTGATAATGGAGGGGGTTACAGGGGGGGCTTGCCCCTTGTCTAGGGAGTAAATAGAAGGTAGGAATAGTTAGGTTTGGATTTTGGGTTTGCATGTTCTCCTGGATTTGGGACTTTGTCTCTGGAGGGTGCATGGTTCTCAGTAACAAATACCCCTTTTTCATATTTTATTTTTCTTTATTTTTTCTTATGTTATAGAATATCACTGCTGTGAGTGGGTTATTAGGACCTCTAAAAAGAATTTACTCATTGTGAATTTAAATGTATCGTGCACAGTAGCTGCCACAATGGTTCACACCTTCTACAGCCCCAGTTTTCCTATATACAGCCCTTGCACATCTATCCTGATTTTTATTGCAGTGCCTAATTTAATTTTAGTAAAAAGAAATATAGCATAGATATTCCAACAGACACTGTATAACAAAATGCTCATAATGTAGATTTTTTTTTTTTTATAAACAAAAGCAGATAATGGCAGACTGTGAACATTAGAGTGGGATAAAATGAAGCACTTAAATTAGAATGAAATAGACACGAAGTTCGGAGCTTATCAAAAGTTTGTAATAGGATGTAATTAAAGATGAAATTTTGTTTTTCTACTATGTCTGTTCCTGTTGTGGTCATATTGCCTTTTATTATTCTAAAATGAAATCTCAATTTCAGACAAGTCAACTCACAGAGGATGAGGAACAAGTGTTTTCATTATCATATCAGCGAAAACTTTATGGCCGTTATGGTGCCTCCAGTGGCATTAATCCAGCCAAAGCATGGCCAAGCAAAGAAGAGCTAGAACTTGCAAAGGAATGGGAAAATCTTGCTTATCCTCTTAGTATTCAAGAGATGATTAGTGAAGCAGAACGTCTGAAAAAGGCAGAAGAGGAGAAGATTAAAAAGAGGTAATTTCTTTTTCAGGTTTATATGTTAATTACATTTAATTAGGGTTTGTATTTTGTCATCATCATCATCATCATCATCATCGGGCTTATTCTGACCTCCTGCAACATTTCCAGTGGTCAATGAGGGTGAAAAATTGATTACATAAAGATAACAAATAAGAATTTTATTTATTGTTCCTCATATTGAATAGAGCATAAACTACCTAGAGAGATAATGTGGAGTCTGCTTAACCCCTTCCCGACGGGTGACGCTGATAGGCGTGAAAACAAACCGCTCAAAAGCTGGCATGCGGCTGTTCGCCGCTGCAGTGAGCCAGTGATTCGGGCTGATGTACTGAACTCACGCGCTCAAAGTTGGCGCGCCGCCTTTGTTTGCCAGAGCGTAGATTTTTTGTTTTGTTTTGTTTTGTTTTCTTCACCCATCACCATTGGGTTAATGAAAAAGTCTTAACACAGCATAACAAAAAATTGCGAAACAGAAATAAGATGTTTGTAGAAAAAGGATCAATAGCATTGCCAAGAGGAGTAATGGAGTCTTGTTACAGTGTGTGACTGTTTGTTCATGTTGGGTTTACAATCTGTAAACCTGGGAGAGCTGCACCTGGATCCAATAGGGTAATTGGGCATATTGCATAAGAAAGGAGTCAGTGGGTGTGGATATTAGCAGAATGAAAGACGACACTTGCTGAACAGTATTCCTGTATACTCGTATCCCACTAATAGCAGAAGCCATTATTGGTGTGTACTCTGAACATTGTTCAGACTAATTGTGTTAAGGCACATGTCAGATGGTATTGGTTTAACCAATATGATACCATCAGTTGTAGGAAGAACAGGGAATTTGTTGATGCCCTCACTGAAAGTAAGTGGCTGACTGGTGTGGAGGCTGTTCACTGGTAAAGGATGATTTAGCAGTTAGGAAGGTTAAGAGGGCAACAGAGAGAGTAGACTTCCTCAGCACAAGGCAGATCAAGGATTGAGAATTGAGAAGTCTGTTTAGGGGGAGACTCATGGTAGAATGTATAATGTGTTGTGGACAGGAGAATTTTAAACCTGTTACCACACCTTTCAGTGACAATTTTATATTGTGTCCAGTGGATTTTCCTGCATTTATAGAGACATGATACATTACATTTTGTCATGTATTCTGGACCCCACAGCAAAAAGAAAGCTTCCTCTGTTGCTGTTCACTACCTTCATTCAACATTATAATCATAATTCCTCAGCTTCACCTTGCTGTCAAGCTGCAGAAAGAAGGAAGTTCTTATAGATACCCCTATAAAAGGGGTATCTATGAGTATTAATATCAAAAGAAAATAGTAAACCACAAGATAAATATGTTAAATATAATATCGCTGAAGGAGTACAGGGTAAGGGGGCACAAAGAGCGTGGGATTGCTTCTGTTTTAGGGGGAGGGGTTGTACATGCCATCCATATTAAGAATTCTTATTTTATGCTTCTACATTCATTGACATAAATACAAGAAGCAAAAACAATCCCATGTATAGATTGTATCACTGGTTCAGAGAGGCAAGGCATTAGAATGGGTATGGGGTGGAATGGAAACATTTATGGGGATCAGGAACATAGCCAGCAGTTTTGAGAGCCTATGATCCATTAATCAACAGGTACAAATACAATTATACAATTACTGTTATTAAACTAAAGGGATTTATTTCTAGAGGCAAATTATAAACGTTTATAATATATTTATTATGATTTTATTTTATATTACTTTCTTTTTGTCACTGTAACTGTGTCTTATACTAATTCCTAATTTTGTTGATCATTTTTAAATTTGATTTATTGATAATTTTTTTTGTTTTTTTATAGACAAGCTGACATCATGCAGAAGGTAGCCAAGCTAGAGGATTGGAAAAGAGACGTACGTGAAGGCTTTAAGAAACGGGAAAGAGAAGCCAGGGAAGCAAAGGTAAGATTTTGCTCTTTTAGATACTTAAGGAGCATTTTAATTGGGATTCGTAAGGAACATTTTATATAGATTTATTATACACACGAGAGACTTGAAATTGAATGTATGATCCATCTTCATCTAAAATCCAAAAGTTTGATGTGGGTCCCTGCAGATCTCTGATTATCTCTAACTTTTTGCAGGAAAAGAAGGAACGTCTCATGGAGGAAGTACGTCAGATATTTGGTTTCCGGATTGATCCTAAAGATGAACGTTTCAAAGAAGCATTGCTGCAGAAAGAGCGGGAAGAGAAACGTGCAGCTAAAGAAGCTAAAAAGATAGAGCGGCAGCAGAGAATGATGGAAAACTTGAGGAAAGCTGCCCAGGAGAGCTCTAGTAGCAGTAAAGAAACAGCTAACTCTTCTGACGGGCTTCAGGGTACTTCTGTTGTTGAAAATTCATTAGCACCTCCACAAGTAGAGACTAAAGAATAAAAAAAATCATCACAGAATATATATATATTTAGATTATCTTGAAATAATGAGAGTTTAAGATTCTGGAGATCTTCCAGCAGCTCATAACAATGTTTATTAAAAAAAAAGTTTTAATACTGAAAACTAATGAATGTTCATAATGATTTATAGTTCACA